CACCTCTCTGTTCCTCGCTAACGGCTTAGAAGGAGCCCGCGGCTAGAGGTCGGGAGCCACGCAGAGGACCATCACTGCGAGAGATCGCCTCCTTGTCTCACCAGCGGCTTTTCATTAGCCAAAGGTTCGAGAGTAGGAGCTTCTCATCTATCGTTGGCATCTGGACTGTGTAACTATTTTGTTTGTATACCCTTGTGTTTGTGGGGTGCTTTCCTATCTTCTCATTTTCCTTGGGATTGGGACATTAAATATTTACCTGCTTTCCTTGTTGTAATTTGAACTTTTATAATATATGGTTTGGCCCCTTTGAATTGGGTTACATTTTTATTTACTGCGGCACGCTTTGATCAAACAACCTATGATAGATGAGGTCTGGTGTCGACTGCATCTTCCACTGAGGCTTTAATTAATATGATTGGATGCAAATTTAGTCTCCTCAGTGTAACACCCCACCTGTAGCAGCTCTGTTCTGTAGCCATAGATGGGGGGTGCCTCATCTCCCAGTGCCATAGCAGCTCCATGTTGGGCTACAGGAGGGTGTCTCCCACCAACCCCCAAGCCATGCCTGCTACACTCTGAGACAAGACAAGGGGACACTCCCCCCTTCCCCAGCCATGGCACTCAGTTTAGACATGCCACGGGACAGATGGTCCTTCCATGGCCCCCACCCAGCTTATCTTGGACCTGCCCCATCAGGGGGACATGCACTCCTCCTTTGTCTGTGTCTACTGGAGCTGCAGTGGTTGTGGAGAGGCAATTCTTATCTGGCCCCACGCTCCTGGGGTCAAAGAGAGGTTTGGGGATGGCCAAAGAGATAGGGCAACCTGCCTTCTGAACCCCTCATCCCCAGCCGTCCCTAGAGCAATGATTTAAATGAAGCATCTGAACAATGCTGGGTAAATCTATAGATAGATAGATATTGCAAGAGAAGAGGTTGGAGCAATCAGCACAGAGACCAGAATGAAAGGAAGATTGTTGTGCTTGAAGTATGATTAAAATCTACAGATTTTGCATAGCAGTTGAAGATGGGGTGACTGAAAGGAGATTAGCTGATGCACCACACAACAATTTCTGGGTAATTTTTTTATATTTTATCTATCCTTGATCAAAACAAGAACATTTACAGATAAACATTTACATATAAAAAGACAAAGAATGTTCTGAGTTTCTAGGATATCCACTCATTTGTTTTTCTTCTCCAAACCAAACCCATTCCAGCAGGCTAACTCATTCTTCACAGTTTGCAAACTCTGACAGATTAACCAAACCTTTGGAAAGATTCTAGGTGAACAAAACTGCCCCCTAGATCAGGGCTACTCAACTTTGGAAGCACTAGGGGCCACAATGATACTCACAGTACATGCTGAGGGCTGCGAATTAAGTGTGGTTGCCATATACATGCAAATATATTCAAATAGCTTCTTTCACACCCATGGGCATGACTACAAAGATTAAGCCTTAAGCTGTGGCGCCAGACCCAAACGTGGCCAGAGTGAGCCAGTCAGCACCTCTCAGGCTCTGCCCACAAGGCTAAGCAGCCAGCACTTCCCACAATGCCCTGGCCCCCCCTGCCCCTCCTCCCTGAGGGCTAGAAATGCCAACACCCTGTACCCATCTGTTCCAGCCAGCCCATCCGCTTGCATCTTTCAATGCTCAACCCACCTGGGAGATGCCGCCTCACTGTTGTGGAGCATGTTCCCAGTTAAGGCCATGTTCAAAGTATTCTACCCACGGGCCACGAGTTGAGCCCCGCATAAACCCAAACCGCACTGCGGGCCGCAAACAAATGGGCGGCGGGCTGCATGTTGAGTAGCCCTGCCCTAGATCATACCTTCTGACAAGGAAAGGAATAATGGACTGATTTCTAATAAAACGAGCCTCCAAAGAGCTCTGAAGGGGTTTTTTTCCCCCCTTGGAAATTTTGAGACTGCTCATAGCTTTGCGCAGGCTGCACAAGTAGCTGAAAGACATTACCAAATCAAAATACAGTAAAACTCCAATTGTCCGGCACCCAGTGGTCCGGCACTTCCAATAGTCCGGCACCAACTCGAACCCAGAAGTGCTCCGGCCAGCTGGACAATTGGAGCTTCTCCGCGCCGCTTCCCCAAGGCCGCCGCTGCTGAAACTGACGAACGGCGGACTTGTGGAAGCTGCAGAGCAGAGCAGCTGGGGTGCTGGCAGGTTGGTCCCGCAGCACTGCCCCTCACCCCGCTGCTCAACAATAACTACTGCAGCCTGGGGGGGTGGGGAGTCCGCTGCCCTCCCCTCCCAGAAACTCTTGGTGGCAGCGCGGGGCTTTCCCCACCTTCCTGCAAAACGGCGAAGGATTTGCCCCTCGCCGCGCTGTTCCCTGCCCACCCCCCACAGACGCAGTGCAGGTCCCGGCAGACCCATCACAGCCCCCCCGCCAGAGTACCTCCCGATACTCTGGCATATCCAATAATCCAGCACCACCTAGGTCCCAAAGATGCCGGATTATCAGAAGTCTACTGTAGTAGTAATTTACATTCACTTAGCACAAGTGTAAGTGAGTGAGGCAAAGTCTCTCAAAATTAGACCAGCCCAAAGCTTTAAACCTTGACATAAATACTTGTCCACATTGGGATTTGAGCTACTACTGTAGCTGTATCAGTGTGCAAACCCTAGTATAGATGCAGAGCATTAAGGTAAACTGTGACTTCCACAGAGGGAGCTTACACTTATTTCACTTCAGGTGCCTTTCAAGTCCCCTCTTTCAGAATTCAAACAAGTTCAGTATTCAATGAGGAACCTAATTTACAGAATCTTTCCTGGTTTTGAATCATATTCATCTGGAGCTATAAATTGTGGTTGTCTCTGACATGAGAGTTAAAAAAAAAAAACCACAATCCCTCATTGCAAAGATACGTGAATCTTTTACAAAATATAAGCCAAGTTTCTAGTTTGTAACCAAACCTGAAAGTGAGTTTTGGGTGCTTTGAGTGAAAGTTACTCCGTATGCAACTTTAGGCAGAAGACAAACATTTAAAAGCCACTTCTTTTGAATCAAGTGGAGCTGGGATTAAATTGGCCACTTCAAACTTCCTCCTTGCTCCCCAATGCAGAATATGGTACAATGTGTAGAAATTTTTACACAGATGGAGTAAAAGACTCTTAGCCAACTTTATAAGATGAGAGTGAATTGCCACAAATCCACCACTCATACTGTACACTTTGGTGCATTCTGGAAGCAGTTTGTCCACTACAACTATGAGGATACCTGCACAACACTCTTCTTCCTTAAGTAGACCAGGGGTGGAGAATCTTTTTTGAGTTGGGACCACTGACCGACAGAAAAAAAAATAATCAGATGGGGGTTGCACACAAATGAGAAAAAATCCCCACCCTTCACCGGTGTGGGCTCCCCAATGCTGGGGGCAGCTCCGAAACTCAGAGGCCAGATCCAGGTAAGCCAGGGGCTGCATCCAGCCCCCTGGCCTTAAGTTCCCCACCCCTGAAGTAGACCATTAACCACTTTGCAGCTCAAGCACTATACAGTGTGCTAATCACATCAGATCACAGTGATCTATTGTGACTTCATTCAAACATCAAGTACAAATGGTGGAGTGGAGGGGCAGTGGTGAACAGTTTAAAAGATCAAGCTTTGTTGTAAAGAGAGCAGGAACTGGAGACTTGGCAACACATGTTCCACGTGCAGGCACTTTGCTTTTAAAGATATTAAGAGGACACAGGTGGTATCATAAAGCTGTCTCTTAAACAGATAATCTAATGGGGGAATTAAGGCCCAATTTTCAGATCTAGTCATCTTCATACAACAGCCATATTCTGCCCCCCATGGGACTGGGACAGTGAGCAAGGGTATAAGTGTATATTATGTTTTGTAATTTGAGCAACCAAATGTGGAATTTCAGACGGTCATCGTTATTGAAGGATTGGAGCCAAACTTTCCTTTCAACACTTAGAACATATTAAATGGGCTATGAACATGAATTAGATTAATAGATTGATACCCTGCCCCTTTTCTCCTCTCCCTTCCCTAGCAATTTCCTCCCCCCAACCCCTTTAATTCTTATTTCCGTCTCAGACAGACAAGTCCTCTGCTTTTGTGTTTTTCTGTATAGGTGTGTTCAGTTTGAATGACTTTTAGAGTTCAAGTGAAGAAACCAACAAAAAGGAAGAAAGGCCCAAGAAAAAAAGTACAGTGTGTCCTTCTCTCTATCTGTCCTACACCAGGGTGTTAAACTGGTGGGCCACATTTGGCCCACTTAGTATGTTACATGGCTTCCAATATTCATAGTGCTTAGAATCTCTGCTTTCAGTTCATGTTAAGTGTCTAGTCTTCATAGTAGCAAAGTAAAGCTACCAAATGTGGACTGAGCTCCATAACTGAGGCAGCAATGTCTGCCTGAACAAAACAGTTATGGAAATGTCAATTCCCTTGTGCCCTATTAATTTCATTGGGACATCAAGGCTAAAATCCCTCATGACATTGCAGTATTGACTTTAACCATATCAGTACTGATCAGTTTAGCAGGTGCAATGGGGAAGAGGTTAAGAGCAAGGCCGACAGACAGGTGGCAATTGCAAACTATTTCAGAAAAGGAAATGCAGTGAAAAGAAGAACATAGGAAACAGAAGTTGGGGAAGGAAGAGAATCAGAGAAAGGAAGGAGGATGAAAGAAGAGCAGAGATAGCAATGACCTTTTAGGACAGCATGTTCTCCTCACTGTGCTGATCTCCCTGTGAACTTCCGTGGTGGAGCATATGTCCTCCTAAATTTATATCCTGACTCATAATTTAACATGGAATTCGACCCCTGGCACCTAGTGAGTCTGATTCCTCTGAGTCAGAGCAATTATGAGTAGAGCCCTGCGTGGATACAAAATTTGTATCTGCATCATAATAACAAAACAGCTATGGACTCCTCAAGCAGACTGAGTTCTTACACGTCTAAAGGTGAGTTATACAGAAAACAAAGGCAGAATAGTTTTACAACTCTATGAACTTGTTAGCAAGTCACCTCCCTTACCTCTATATGTGTACCAGATCTCCCTATCACTTCTCTCTGTGCTGCTCTCTGCTTGCCTGTCGGCCCAATCTCAGTTAAGCCTTCCTCCTGGTGCCCAGGCTGAAGGAGTAGTTGAAAAGTAGACAGAGGCTAATTACTAGACAAATATAAGCTAGGGAAGCAACATGATCTAGTGCCTGGCGCACTGTAGAAGAACTCAAGAGACCTTTACCTTAAGTTTGTTGGGTGAGCTTGGAGAAGTCATTGCTTGCAGTGCCTCAGTTTCCCCATGAAGAAAACAGGAATAATAATACCAATTTTCCTTGCAAAGCCCTATACAGTATACAGATAATTACAAGGTGTAAGGATTACCTCTTCCCAAGTATCCCAAAATCCCATTATTTTCCCCCTTATTTAGTAGCCACTTGTAATGGTTTTCACTCCTAAGACAGTATCGTATTCCACTTGAAAACTGGGATTACAGTGTCACTGAAGAAAGTTAGAGTAGCAGCTGTAGTTCAAGTAGTGAGGCTAAGGCAAAGAAAGAATCAGCCAGATAAGAACATAAGAATGGCCATACTGAGTCAGACTAAAGGCCTATCTGGCCACAGTATCCAACAGTGGCCAATGCCAGTTGCCCCAGAAGGAGTGAACAGAACAGGTAATCATCACGTGACCCCTCTCCTGTCATTCATTTCCAGCCTCTGACAAACTGAGGCGAGGGACACCCTTCCAATCCATCCTGGCTAATAGCCATTGATGGACTTAACCTCTATTAATTTATCTAGCTCTTTTTTGAACCCTGTTAAAGTCCTGGTCTTTGCAACCTCCTCTGGCAAGGAGTTCCACAGATTGACTGTGTGCTGCATCTATGACTCTTTGACACCTATGACCTCTCTTTGGTTGCATCTATATTAAAAAACTAAGTGAGAGTGTGCTACCATAAATGGCTATAAACACACATCCTGTTTCAAGCACACCAATGCCCTGTCTACATCACCAGTAATTACATGTTTTAGTAGCACTCCCTGGAGATTACTTATCCCATAGTTCGTGGCACACATAGCAGCCACTAGGATATTGTTTTATAAGGTGCACTTAATACACTAGCAAATTCAAAACACGCATCAGGGAGCTCCTCCTAGCAGCAAAGACCATTGTCTAATTAAACTAGTGACACAAAATAAAGTTAAACCAGCATACATTTCTCAAAGATGTCTATATCGTTAGACAACGTCTACATTGGCAAGATTTTGCGCAAATATTTTGAACGCAAGAGTTTTTGCGTTATAAGTATTTGTACAAGAGAGTCTACACTGGCACGTGCTTTTGCGCAAGAGATGTGCTTTTGCCCAAAAGCATCCGTGGCAGTGTAGACTCATAGACTCCAAGGTCAGAAGGGACCATTATGATCATCTAGTCTGACCCCCTGCACAGTGCAGGCCACAAAATCTCACCCACCCCTCCTAGAATAATCCTCTCGCCTATATCTCAGATATTGAAGCCTTCAAATACTTTGAAGACCCCAAGATGCAGAGATCCTCTAGCTATGATCTGTACCCCATGCTACAGAGGAAGGCGAAAAACCTCCAGGGCCTCTGCCAATCTACCCTGGAGGAAAATTCCTTCCCGACCCCAAATATGGCCCATTTTAGCCATCAGGCTTCCTTGTGCAAGAAATTCGTGTTGCCTGTCTACACTAGCCTCTTGAGCAAGAACAGTTGTGCAAGAGGGCTTATTCCTGAGCGGGAGCATCATAGTTCTTGTGCAAGCAGCACTGATTTCACACATTAGAACATCAGTGTTCTTGTGCAAGACCTCCCCGCCAGTGTAGACAGGCAGCACGTTTTTGCGCAAAAACGGGTGCTTTTGCGCAAAATCATGCCAATGTAGACACAGCCTTATTGTTTAGCACCTGTATCCAGTAAGGAGAAGCTTTTGGGTAAAACCCCATGCCCACAGAACACCTAATAAAGTCAGTGAGACTCCATGTAACTGTATAATTGCTCTGCAAGGTCAGGGCCTAAAAAGATTACAACGTGCTTTCTAAAGTTTTACTCAGATTCATTTCTAAACAAAATGCAAGTCTTTGCATTTTGTTAGTTTTCACTTTTTATGCAATAATCAATTTTCAGGGTACTAAACCCAGTCCAAATGTTTCCTTCTTTGCAATCAATCACATACTAACCTGTGTGCTAAAGTTGTTGGGAGTTTTTTTGGCTCAGACCAACAAAGTCAGTTTTACACAAGCCTACTGTGACTGTTAGTCCTGAGATTGCTCTTTAAACTTTATGCCATCATTTTAAACGGTTACAACAATTATATATTTTAACTTCAAAGGATTTCAGTAGCAGTAAGGATTAAAACATAGGCTCACCACTATGGAAGCATTAGAAGGAACTCAAACCTCAAGCAACACAATGCTAGCTTGCTTCTCCCCAGAACTGGGCAGCTGATCTAGGAGCAAAATTCCAAATTTAAAGAGAAAGGATAGAAACACAGTGCTCTAGCATTTCAACTAGCTTTATGTAAAAGACACACTTAAAAAACTAAGAACACAGGCACAGAATATAATAAAACCTTGTCACACTCTAATAATTACAATTATTAACTTTTCTTACATATAACAGTCTAGCAATGTCTGTTATATTTTAGTAGGCTTCCCCCTTCCCAACAGCTGGATGTGCAGTGAGATTGTGGGGGAGGAGAGATCTGAAAGGAAGAATCCTTTATGGGGCGGAGTTGCCTGTGACCTGCTCCAAGGGAAGTAGCCACTGCTGGAGAGGAGTGGGGGTGCAAGTGGCTGCATTAAAGTTTGTCTGATTTTTGTATAGTGTGGTCTTGCTTCATTGCCTTAGATACCCCATAGTGCTCTATGTTGCATAGATACAGCATCATGCTATGTTTATATGTAATAGTAGATCATATTCATTTTGTTTATAATCCTTTGGTGGCTGTTCCCATTGGTTTAGTCCAATGGTTCCTTTTTGCTCTGCCCCAGCTTCTGAGCACATGCACCTGGGGGAAACACCCTCACACTAGTCTGTGTGGCAAGGGGGAGGGAAGGCATGCAGGCTGTTCTTCCTCCTGACCGATTATGGGCCTGGTGCCCAGGAGTATACCATGATGAGCAGGGCCATGTGTGGGTGGCTGTGCTCAGGAAAGTAAGTCTGTTGCTCTGCCATGCAGCTCTTCCTTTGTTTTACCCTAGAGAGTGTGTGTTTCATGTGCCTGGATTTTCTGGTTATACTAGTGAGTTCTTTCTCTCTTATATTTGCTCCCTAGGATCCAAAGACAGGCATCCTGTGGGCCAGGGTACGGGCCGAACAGGTCCCTCTGGGGGATTCCTGGACCCGTAGTCAGTTCCCACTCTCACCTCTCCCCCATCTGTGGCAGTGGTGCCCACGTGGACTTTACCGTGCAGCTGGGGGGACAGGAGAAGATGAATGGTGGCTGAAGAGCCATCAGGTGGTAAGTTAAAGGCTCCAAAGACAGGATGTGTAGCTAGAGAGTATTACAATGAATACACCTGTAGTTATCTCATTGGTCTCCCTGCAACCCAATTGTCACCCCTCTTAGATCTGGTTTAGTATTTAAAAGGCATAAGCCTTCTGCTCTCCCCTCAGGTCTGGCTGTACTCGGAGCTTGTGCCGCTGCTCTGCCTATTCTGTATTTTCAGTTCCTCTACCCCTGTGCTGTCTGCAGTTGTTTCCCACCTCTGGTCAGATAGCTTAACAAACAGCAGTAAATTCCCATTGTTCAATGAGCTCTACAGGGGCAGTCGCAATGCTTGACCCTCCCAGACACACAGAGGACTGGGGCTTAGCTGATCCACCACAATTTTACATCCCTAGTTCAGTTAACTGGTTAAATGGAAATGTTTAACCAGTAAGCCATGATCCTGCGGCAGGGGGCTTCTCCAGCCCAGCCAGGCCCACCACACCCGCTTGGGCCAAGCTTGCCGCACTATGGGCAGGGGGCTGCTGTGATCGTGCCTGCCGTGCTCCAGGCAGGGGGGCTGCTCCAGCCCAGCCATGCCGGAATCCCCCACGCTTGTAATATGGTGGGGTTAGCCCGGCTATGCTGGAGTGCTCCCTGGGGTCCTGCCACTGGTTAGGGCTGGGCTGGGGTCCCACCGGACCCTGCCTCCTAGGGCCTGCACAGCCAGGCTGGTGTGGCCAGGGTCCCTCTTGCCCCTTCCTAGGCTATGTCTACACTGGCGGCTTCTTGCACAAGAACATCTTGCACAAGGGTTCTTGTGCAAGAAGTCTTGCGCAAGAAAACGTCCACACTGCCATGTGCGCACTGTGCTTTTGCGCAAGGGCTCCCATGGCAGTGTGGACGCTCTCTTGCGCAAGAAATCTGTGATGGCCATTTTAGTCATAGTGCTTTGTTGCACAAAAAATCCCTGCCGAGTGTCCACGCTGCCCTTTTGCGCAAAAGCACCTGCGCAAGAGGGCTTATGCTCTTTTTTATCAGGTGTAACTCTTGTGCAAGAAGCCCTCTCTTACCACGCTGTACTGTAAATTTCCTTGCACAAGAGCAGGCGGGCAGTGTGGACGCTCTGCAGATTCTTGCGCAAGAACAGCTGTACTTGCGCAAGAAGCTGCGAGTGTAGACATAGCCCTAGTGTGTGGTGGGGCTGGGGTGAGGCTGCAGCCAGGATCACTACCTGCTGTCCTGTCTGGGTTCCTGGTTAACTAGTTACCTATCCAATAAACCTAATGCTCACCAGTTAACTGGGTAGTCTTTTACATCCTTAGACTGAACCCTTCTTCTTAGTCGTTTCTCTCCCTGCTAACTAGGAGGTGAGGTTATACAAATCTAATGGCCCTTTATATATCTCACTACTTGTCCTCCCTCCCTTTCTTTCAGGTATCTGGTGTTCCAGAGATACTCCTCTGCCAACTACCCAGATGAGGCCACAGCAAAGTAAATACCTGAGACTGGCAGGACTTCTCAGGAGCAGGCCTGCTGTGAGGGTTTTAAATACATATACTTTTTTCTTTCTTTAAATAGGGCAATATGAACAAGGAAAAAGGGAAGATTTTTCTTTTATGTTCGGCAATGCAGTATTAATTTAAATCTGTCATGTTATAAAATGTTTGACAAATGTAAGGGGGCCTTTCTAAAAATGGTGATGAGGCAGTTTATATCACCGATCACAAAATGAAAGCCATTTCTTTTAGAGTAAAAAAAATTTGTTTTGCCTGTTTAAATGTGTCTTGTTTGTTGTCCAGGGTCAAAGGGGACAAAGAGAACTGCAGAGGACAGTTCCTGCCTTTTGGACCTGTGTTATGACCATTCAAGTGAACTTGATGGGTGTCTCAAGGATGGCCTACCAGCCCAGGATAGCAGTGGGAGGACCAATTGAGCTGGATAGCGTAGGCAGCAAGTGAACCAATAAGGCTGGTGGGTTACACAAGGGTTACTCCTGCAAATGTAGTGACCACAGTAGCATGAATGTCTGTACATCACTGGCAACGTCTTATGGGTGAGCATGTGAATTGTTAGGTCAACATTTGCTAGTATAGTCGACAGAGATTTTCTCCTTCTGTTCCTTTCAGCAGTAATGTTGAAGTGGGCGGGTTATCTCGAAAATCTGGTTGCAGCTGGCAGTGTAGCACATGCAGAACTAAATAGCTATACATATATGGCACAGTGTATGTGTGTACCATATTTGAATGAAAATGTATCTGCACTTCACATCACCTTCCATCTGCTTCACGGAGGCAACGGCTACACTGCAAGCTTCTTGTGCAAGAAACCCTTGCTGTCTGTCCACATGCCTTTTTGCGCAAGAGCTCTTGCACAAAAAGGCTTATTCCATGTAGAAAGAGGAATAACTCTTGCACAAAAAGCCCTGACTTCTGACGATCTGCTGTACTTTTTCTTGTGCAAAAATGCGCTTGTAGTGTGGATGCTATGTGAGTTCTTGAGCAAAAATGGCCATTTTTGTGCAAAAACTCTGCAGTGTAGATGTGGCCAAAGAGTGCAGGGCCAAGGGCTCCATTACAGAGGCAGTTTACAGCACAATTAATAAAACATGTTCTTTACTTCTTATATTTCCTTCATTTATCTTCTTCACATGGGGGAGACAAGGAGAGAGGAATATATCTGACTTTATTTTAAAGAATGTGAGCTAGCAAGACTCTAAGTTGCTAGTCTCTAAGGCAGTGTTTCCCAAAGTGGTTTGTTTACTTACCAGCGTCATGGCCACGGAGCCTTGCAGTGTCCATTGGCTCCATTTCGCCGTTAGCATCCAAGGGGAGCTGTGGGAAGCGGCGTGGGCTGGGTAGCTGCTTCCTGCAGCTCCCCTTGGCTGCAAACGACGAAATGGAGCCGATAGGAACTGCAAGGCTCCGTGGCCACGATACCGGTAAGTAAACAATCTGGCATGGCCCATTAACAAGTTTCTCAAAGTGGTTTCCCGGACCACTTTGAGAAACACTGCTCTAAGGACTTGTCCACACTTAAAACACTACAGAGTTATTCCTGTAGCATTTCAGCGTAGATACTTCCTGCTCTGAGAGGGATTCTTCGATGAGATTCTTCCCAGAGAGGCAGCTGCTAGATAACTGAAAATTTCTTCCGTCAACCTATGTAACTGGGGACTTAGGTTGCCTTAATTATGCTGCTTGCGGGTGTGTGGATTTTTCACACCCGAGTGGTGAAGTTGTGCCGATCTAATTTTCTAGGGTAGACTAGGCCTAAATCAATCATGAGTTGCTCTTACATGCTGTATAGCCTTATGACATTTCTGATCCCCACCCGTAACATATCACATGCCTTAAATCCAATGACTAATAAAAATTCTGTTCTAGGAGAAGCCAGAGGGGGTCTGAAGAGTAATTAAGGTCTCCCTAGGCTTGCAAGATTTATTTTTTTAAATGAGTTTGCTCACCAGATCAGTTCTGTCAGGCTCCACTTTATTGCTATTGATACTGTGGACCTCTCATTGCCAGTTTTGTATTTGTTTGACTCTGACTCAGAGGAGCTTCTCCTGTTTTTCAATTTTGCAAGAACAAAATTGGAACATTTGAGTGCAATGCTACAAATTGCTAAAAAATAAATCTCTGATGCTCTCAAGTTAGCTTCGAACAAAAAATTTATGTTTTTTAAATCCATGTACTATGATTCATGATTGTGTAAAGATGCTTGTTGTTTAAAATGGACTCTGCTAAACAGGACAGATTATGCTGAAGACCTCATCTTGTTAAGGGTAACTGCAATGTTTTCAAACAAAAACTAGGGACAGTTATCCCAATAAGTGGACTGGCAGGGAAATTTCATGGTGGAGTTAAGGTCTTCTTGTAAAGGAGACTGGAAGAGAGAAAAGTAGAGGAGAGTTTACCTACTCTTCCTTCTCTTATGGTAAATTATTCATCGCTTTCTTGCTGTGTTGACATCTGAATAAGATCTGGAGGAGGACTTGGGGACTCTCTCATATAGAGTGGGGCTCACTGGAAAACCTTGTGTCAGAATGAGAGTAGATAAAAAAGGTGACAGACTCGACAGAAAGGAAGGCTTTGCAATGCATGTTTATTCACCTGGGGGTACGTCTACACTGCCTAGCTATTAATAGCTACCCTGCATCTACACAAACCACCCGTTATTTCAAAGTATTTTTCGAAATAATGGGTGCACTATTTCAGCATCCCGGTAACCCTCGTTCCAAGAGGGATAAGGGTTGTCTTGAAATAGTGCCAATTTTGAAATAAAGCACTGTGTAGACACGCCAAATTTCAAAATAGCCTATTTCAAAATAGATTCAAAATAAGATATGCAATTTGCATATCTTATTTTGAGGCTAGGGTGCTGTGTAGATGCACCCCCAGTCTGCTGTCATTTTTGATGCTCACGTAGGGTGCATCTACACAGCAGGGCTTAACTCGAAATAAGATATGCAAATTGAGCTACGTCAGTTGTGTGGCTTATTTCAAAATAGCTTATTTAGAAATAGAAAGCATCTACACAGCACTTATTTTGAAATACAGCACGAGACTCCGACTTCCCTTCTTGTACAGTGAGGCTGTGTCTACATTGGACCCCTTTTCCGGAGAAGGGATGCAGATGAGACAAGTCGAATTGCAAATGAAGCAGGGGATTTAAATATCCCCTGCTTCATTTGTATAAACATGGCTGCCGCTTTTTTCTGGCTTGGGGCTTTGCCGGAGAAAAGCACTAGTCTAGACGGGATCTTTCGGAAAATAAAGCCTTTTCCGAAAGGTTCCTTATTCCTGATTTTAAGAGGAATAAGGGACCTTTCGGAAAAGGCTTTATTTTCTGAAAGATCCCATCTAGACTGGCGCTTTTCTCCGGCAAAGCCCCGAGCTGGAAAAAAGCGGCAGCCATGTTTATACAAATGAAGCAGGGGATATTTAAATCCCCCGCTTCATTTGCAATTCCGACTTGTCTCATCTGCATCCCTTCTCCGGAAAAGGGGTCCAGTGTAGACACAGCCTGAGTGTTACAGGAGTCGGAGTAAGAAGTCCTCCAGCTTGACACTATTTCGAAATAACTGCTTGCTGTGTAGACTCGGACTAAGATATTTCAAAATAATGCTAGTTATTTCGAAATAATGTTGCAGTGTAGACATACCCCTAGACAGTATTTTTTTTTCAGCAGCCAATTTATAGGGGCTAGATAAACCAGGACTAAATGGGTTTTGTAAAACCAACAGGCAAACCGTGAAACTAGACTATACTGGTATAAGGATAACCAGAGTTTTGGTCTAGATTACAAAGTATACATGTGCATGGCATTTTTCTTCTTTCTTATTCTAGTCTTGTTATGGTCCTGACATACTGGAATTATCCATTCATTTTTCAGAGAGCAGGATTTCTGTACATTTCAACACACTGATCACAGTTCAGCGAGTTACCTAAGTACATAGCTAACCTAAAAAACTCGAGTAACCTATTTACTCTAATGGGATACTCATGCTTATGTAGGTTGCTGAATCTGGCCCAAACACACAGCGGTGGGACATGCAGGGGAGGATACAGAAATGTTGTTTCTGAAATCTCTCCAGCCAACAGCTCCCTGGGGTGCCCAGCAACGAATGCATTTTTGTTATCATTTGAAGGGTGAAGAGGCCAACATATGTAAAAATGCCATATTGAAACTTAAAACTTGATTTAGAGTTGATGTTGCTAGATGATGTCACATTTCTTTTCAGAGGCCATATTTGCAGTGCTGGCCGCAACAGATGCATATGCAAAAATCTGTAGGGACATTGTTGCAATCTCATAAGCAGGCTCTTTATTTACATGCGAAGTCTGTCATTTTGACCAGCATGGAGGGGGGAGGAATCACAGCACTTTTCTCTAAAGAATCATGCTGCATAGTTAAGATCTCATATTGTCTGTGGATTAAACACTCATACATGCAGCATTCCCCTCTATATCTGTTTGCACATGCAATTACTAAAATGTTCATATGCAAATTTCAGTGCATTTTAGCTTGTGATTTGCTCACAGGGAGTTTATCATTATGCTGGGAAGTAGATGGTAGGCTGCTGTGAATATTTCTACCTACAAATACTTTTTTTTGCAGATGCAGGAATTGTCTAGGTTTGAACCTTTACCATTACTATTGAAACAATTAGATTTTCACTATTTTAAATCCTAGACAGTAGAAATGCTCGATTATAGAAATCGTGTGAAAGGCTGTACAACAGCCATAGTCTGGCTGAATGCAGAGTGGGATCTTTTCTTTCCCTTCAAGCATCTGAGGAAGTGAGTTATATCTCACAAAAGCTTATGCCCTAATAAATTTGTTAGTTTTTAAGATGCCACTGGACTCCTTGTTGGTTTTGCTGAAACAGACTAACATGGCTACCTCTCTGAAACTTGTAATAGGATCTGATATACAGGCAGTCCCCGACTTACGCGGATCCGACTTATGTCGGATCCGCAGTTACGAACGGGGCTGCCCCGGAGTACACGGACTGCAGGACCTCGCGGTCCCACCGCCCGTGTACTCCGGGCGAGAAAAGCTGCTCCGCGTCTCCCTGGTCTGCAGACCAGGAAGACGTGGAGCAAAGCCGCTGCCCAAGCCCCCCCGCCGGGCCAGCAGCACCCCAACTGCTCTGCCCCAGGCGTACACCAA